TGAAGGATCATGTGACACTGAAGACTGAAGTAATGATGCTGAAAATACAGCTTTGATCACAGGAATAAATTACATTTTAAAATATATTCACATAGAAACCAGCTATTTAAAATAGTAATAATATTTCACAGTTTTACTGTATTTTTCATCAAATAAATGCAGCCGTGGTGAGCAGAACATCTTACCGACCCCAAACTTTTGAGCGGTATTTGTATCTCACTATCGACATTGCCATGACTTATCCAAGGACTGTAAGATTTCATTCAATCCATGACATTTACGGCCTTCAAATATATTCCCTAATATCTTCAAGTTTTTCACAACTGTCTTCTCAATCTTTAATGAGATTTCACCTGAACAATAATTGCAAAAACAAGTCAGAAAGTACCCAAAAGTCTCTGAATCTATGATAAGATTTACCAGACCTGAATCCATGGCCCGCGGCGTTTGAAGGAGTGAACATGTATATTGGTGTCTAGAGGTTTCTAGTCCTGGTGGTCTCGGGTAATTACTGATGGGGTCTCCTTATGCTGGTCTCCAGGGTAACTGCTGCTTTAAGTCTAGAGTTATATAGTCCATAATGACGTCCCCAGAGAGCAGGAGCAGAGCTCGTGTTACAGAAACCACCTCAAACTAACCTCATACGCGAATACAACTCCACATCAGAATCAATATAATGAAGAACATGAAGACAAGGCTGTAATTATCTCCCTGAAGACTTCAAAAATTTACATGATCCTAGATGGTCAAACTCTCTACTATAGAGACATATTTTAAAGGAGACCTACAATGCCCTTTTAGAAAGCCTAGATTTTGTTTTTGGGCTCTATTAGAACAGGTTTTCATGCTTAAATGTTCATTATTCTCTATGTCTCAAATGTTCAAAGTCTCTATGAAGCCCCTCCTTCTGAAAAGCACACTGTGCTCTGATTGGTCAGCTGGATCAGTGTGTTGTGATTTGTCAACCACTTCGAGTGTGTTTGGGAAATGTCCCGCCCCTTACCATAACCGCCAGTTTAATGCTTTCGAACAATGTCTACTTTGCCCAGCCCTCAAACACTGCAGTTGTAGCTGAGACTAGAAGAGTTTGGTGACGAGAAGATGCTGTTTTCTGCTACCAAAGCAAATCCACTTTACAAGGACTGTCCTAAAGATTGAGTCTTGAGCTGGAATTGATACGGTAAAACAGACGTCATCATTACGTATCACTGTCTATCAAGTGCTGAGGAAGATCTGGAGGTCAAATTTAGATATTTTAATGGGAAATTGGTTTCTGACACACACACAATAAACGGTCGGTCAATCACAACAGTCTGGGCCATCTGACCAATCAGAGCAGAGTAGACCAATCACAACAGACTGGGCCATCTGACCAATCAGAGCAGAGTAGGCCAATCACAACAGACTGGGCCATCTGAGCAATCAGAGCAGAGTAGACCAATCACAACAGACTGGGCCATCTGACCAATCAGAGCAGAGTAGACCAATCAAAACAGACTGGGCCATCTGACCAATCAGAGCAGAGTAGACCAATCACAACAGACTGGGCCATCTGACCAATCAGAGCAGAGTAGACCAATCACAACAGACTGAGCCATCTGACCAATCAGAGCAGAGTAGACCAATCAAAACAGACTGGGCCATCTGACCAATCAGAGCAGAGTAGACCAATCACAACAGACTGAGCCATCTGACCAATCAGAGCAGAGTAGACCAATCAAAACAGACTGGGCCATCTGACCAATCAGAGCAGAGTAGACCAATCACAACAGACTAGGCCATCTGACCAATCAGAGCAGAGTAGACCAATCACAACAGACTAGGCCATCTGACCAATCAGAGCAGGGCAGGCTCGTGGAAAGGAGGGGTTTAAAGAGACCGGATCCTTTATCGACTGTTGCAGACACTGTGAGAAAAGAGCTGATGCTGGAATGGATATTATGAGAAAATTAAAGTGTTTTTGACCTTGGATACGTGTAAACCTGTTGTAGGAGACTGCAAAACAAAATTAGTAACCTTTAAAATAGCATAATAGTGGCACTTTAATATGCAAATATTGCATCTATAAAATCACAAACTTCAGCTATCCTACTGCATTCACATCATCTTGAGTTTCTCTCTTACCAAGAGAGCCTTTCAAATCTATGAATGAATAGTGTAGAACTTGTATATTTGAGTTGTAGCTGTATGCAACCAGGTAAAAGTGATGAAAATGCACAAAAGAATCCAACAAAAGGGTTTGAGAAGATCAGAGATGCGTCCAACCCTTCAGCTCAAGCAGCTTTCAAGTGAACAACAGACGCTCTCTTTTCTCCCTCCCTCCATTCATCCTGTCTTTTATTTTCTCCCACACCCTCAGCGCTCCAAATACACCTGTCAGCTCCACACTACAGCTGGATCACCTGTAATTACCCAACCTGCTCTGCCGGTCCACACAACACACACTTCACACACCTGGCTGAGACGTAATCGCTGTCACACACCGACACTAAGTGCCTGGTCAGACTCCCAGACCCTCGTGTCGGGACGTGCCGATACGAGAGCCGAACGGGATGTTAATCCGGCTGCGATCCTGAATAGCGGCATTCATACGGCACAAACACACACTGCACTCTCACCCAGATCACGTCTCTTTGATGTGGAGCTGCAGAAGAATCAAACTTTGGCTTTTGACGGATCACGTCTGTCATCAGCTGAACAACTGACAGGATTCAGCCCAGACAGGGAAGCCCTATTCACCAGCGATCGGGGCATTTCACTAGACAAAGATCGTCTTAAAGTCTTAAAGGGGTCGGATAATGAATAAAAAAATAAAATAAAATTTTGATCTTTTGAAATGAGTTTGATGTATTGTGAAACAAATACAGTAACTTTCACACAGCAAAACTACCTTGCAAGCAGAGCTGCATGATTAATCGAAATAAAACCGAAAATAAAAATGAAGTGCGCCACTTCCCAAACTTGTAAAAACCACCTAAATAAAAGCTTGATGGTTCAAAGTTTGAAAATGAAGAAATTAAGACAGCCATAAATATTAGAATTGTAATTTTACAGTTGTACCATAAAATTATTTATCTAAAACATATATTTTATTTTAAAGTGAAATATTACAATAGGAATGTCTCGTTTTAATATTTTTATTTTGTAATAATAATAACAATATTATTATTGTTAATAATAATAATAGTATTATATCACACTTATATATAGAAAAACAATTTGAAATCAAAATTTAAATCGCATTTTAAAAATGAAAATTACTTAAATCGTGCAGCCCTACTTCTGACTCTGAGTTACTGAAATTCAGCTGAAAAATATAAAAATGTATTTACGGTCATCAGATAAATGCAATTGAACACACAACCATTCACATTTACATGTCAACAACACCTATTCAGTGTTCAGCAACATGTTCAGTTATGGTGAGTTAATACATAAGAAATAAACATTATCATTGCTAAATAGCAGAAGATTTAAAGCAGTCCTATTCTGATTTTTTATATTTTCAACGTACTTTAATGTCGCTCTTTGAGCATAAAAACCTCTGCAAAGTTACAGTATCTCCAGCAGGAGTTATTCTCTATATCAGTGTCTGACACACGATCGACTAATCGCAACGCAAGCTCCAGTCGACCAATCAGAGCACAGTGTGCTTTTCAGAAGGAGGGGCTTCATAGAGACAGGAACTATACAGAGCGTTACTGACAGACTGGGAAGAGAGGAGCCGCAACAATGGACAATATGAGAAAAATAATGTGTTTTGAACATTCAAGCATGAAAACCTGTTCTTGTAGAGTCCAAAAACAAATCAAAACTTTCCAAAAGGGAATAATAGGTCTCCTTTAAAGGTACAATATGCAGGATTTTTGCAGTAAAATATCCAAAAACCACTAGGCCAATGTTATATATTTTGTTTAGTTGATTACTTACAATATCCCAAATGTTTCCAACTATTTGTAAATGGTGAGAAAATTGCGATTTTAACCAATGAAACGGGGCGTGTGAGCAGGGGTGAGGAGTCGCCAGTCAATGACGTCATATCCACGTTACCCTCGGTTTCCGCCAGGTTTGACCTCGTACTGCCATAGTAACCATGGCGACAGACGTTGACAACTGGGTTATGCCCGTTATGCCTAGCAGGACGCTCACGCTGTTGTTTTGTTCATACATTATGGACCATGACAAGCAGACTTTGAGACAAAAAGAGGACTAGAACGAAGATCAACATCTTTGGAGATGCCGAGAGCTCCACGTCCGCCACTAACCTCGACTTGACAGAGTGTTGCTTGTACTTTATTAGACAGGTGAGCAAATGTACATAAAACTAATCAATGTTATTTAGTTCAACATGATGAAATGTTAGAATATGATCTGTATGTTATCCTAATGTTGATCTAGCTTAACGCCTCATACAGCCAACACACAACCTAACCTAACTAACAACATTCAACACACTCAAATGCCGTTTAGTGTGATAGTGTAACTGTTAGAGCAAGTGAAACAGCGCTGCGTTACCTCAAGTTTCATTCGTCTAATAAACTGACCTGTGTGAGTATTAATTCAGCACTTGTGTGTAGTTCGGTTGAATGAAATGTCCTTATTCCTTTATATCCGCGGGACTCGCGTTGTGTGTGGCGCTGGTAACGTTTATACGTCTAGCAATCGCGCCCTGCTTCACACCAGTCATGTTAAAAACATCACTGTATTCACTCATCCATAAAAGATCCATCAGCTTGACGACAAGATCCATAATTACACTTAATGCAGAATATAGCCTACGTCATCAATATACGCCTTTGTTATTGTAAGAGGTAGCGACCCCTGCTGGCGAAAAATCCTGCATATTGTACCTTTAATGATAAGAGTAAAATGTGTAGGAATTTGTTTTAATATTTTGATCTCTTTCTGACTGTTGTTTCATGAGTTAATGTGACATTTGAATCTCGTAACAGTATGTTATCCGAGTAGATCCAGAAGTTGATGAGGTGTGTGTTGTGTACCTCTCGTAAGCAGGAGTAGATGGGACACACCAGCACTCTGAACGGCTCTCCAGCGCTGCTCCTCATGGTGCCGAACACTTCACACAGAAACGTGATGAAGCCCAGCCAGCACTCCACATCAGTGTGCTGGAGCTCCTCACGACGCTTGAAGTCCCTCTGGAGAGAAACACAGCGGTCAGCATATGCTCCGCAACACACAACACACTCGTTTTTAAAAGAAGTCTCTTCTGCTCCCCAAGGCTGCATTTATTTGATTAAAAATACAGTAAAAATAAGTCATATTTTATTATTACAAATATTAAGAGAACCATTTTCTATTTGAATATGTCTTAAAATGTCATTTATTCCTGTGATCAAAGCTGAATTTTGTCTTCAGTGTCACTGTTTTGCTTGGTGCTCAATTATTAATAATGGATCTTATTATCAATGTTTCAAACTTAATATTTGATATGCTTAATATTTTTGTGGAAAACGTGATGCATTTTTTTCAGGGGTCTTTGAAATACAATCTTTTGTAACAGTATAAAATGTCTTTACTGTCAATTTTGATCAGTTTACTGCATCCTTGCTGAATAAAAGTATGAAGTTTTTATTAAATCTCATTTACCTCAATCTTATAAATGGTAGTGTATCATTGTTTCCACAAACATTAAGCAAGGATGTTTTCAAAATTTATAATAATCAGAAATGTTTCTTCAGCAGTAAATCATTATATTAGAGTGATTTCTGAAGGATCATGTGACACTGAAGACTGAAGTAATGATGCTGAAAATACAGCTTTGATCACAGGAATAAATTAAATTTTAATTTATATTCACATAGAAAATGGTTATTTTAAATTGTAATAATATTTCACAATATTACTGATTTTCAGCCAATAAATGCAGCAGTGGTGAGCATAAGATACTTCTTTCAAAAACTTCTTTTTTTTTTTCACCGTTCAGAAAACACCAATACACAGAGGCTCCAACATACTGATGTTTTTACATCCATTAAATTTCCCAGCATGTCTGACTCATCATGATACAAGTGCAGATAAAAATCAAAAAGACTCTCTCTCTCTCTCACTCTCTCACACACACACATGCAGCTCGTCTCTGTTCTGCGATAAGCCTGTGTCTGTGTGTTTGTGGCAGTCTGCTAAATGAGTCGGAGCGGAGCTTTCACTAGGGTCAGAGACGCTTGCATCTGTGTGTATCTGTTACATAATCCCGTCAGAACGAAAGCGTCTGCTCCAGCGTCATACGGGTGAAAAGAACCGGTTTATGTGAGGACGAACCGGATGATTCATCCAGCTCAACACACTCTCACAGTTAAAGGGGCTACTACATGTTAAAAGGCAAAAAAGAGACGTGTGTATCGTGACTTTCTCCATTTAAACAATTACACTACTGTTCAAAATTTGGGGATCAGTAAGATTTACTTTTATTCAGCAGGGATGCATTCAAGTGATCAAAAGTGACAGTAAAGACATTTATAATGTTACAAAAGATTTCTATTTCAATCTATTTATCAAAGAATCCTGAAAAATGGATCACCTTTCCATGAAAATATTACTAAATGAGTAAGTCACTTTAGAAAGTTTACCTACTAAGTAATGCTACTGTAATACATTATAAATTATTATTTTGTATATATTTTTTAAGTTTGATTGTAATAGATGGCTTTTGTACTTTTCCTTCATGATCCTGTTATTGACATTTGCAGCATGGGGTTTGTTTGCGACGGAGCGTTTGTTGGTCTGTGTGCGTGTGCGTGTGTGTGTGAGCGTTTGTTGGTCTGTGTGTGCGTTGTGTGTGTATATAGAGCAGGATGTGTGTTTTGGCCGCACCAGCAGCAGGTCAAAGTTCTGGTATCACATCACTGTGAGTCTAACAGTCAGTTCCCAAAAACAATGACAAAATACTTAGAGCTTTACCACCAAAACCAGCGTACAGACAGACTGACCCCAAACAACAGAGACCGAGACACGGCATAAAAACACTTCTACAGGACAGCGCTTCTGCAGTCTCCCTGCAGCGGTAATAATAGACTAACAGATTAAAAGCGTCGTATATTAAAATCATTGCATGTTTTATCACCCAGAACTAACTGAAATAAGTTACTAAACAATAAATTACTAACACAAAAAAAAAAAAAAAATGAAAGCTATATATATATACACACACACATACATACATATATTTAAATGACAAAAGCACAAAATTACTAATACTTTAAAATTAAAATGTAAACTGAACTTAAAATAAAATTAAGCTATATATATATATATTCCCTAAAATTAAAATGAATACTGAAAATATATGTAAAAAAGCTCATTCAAAAGATTATAATTGAAAATAGTACTAAAATAACGTTGCTCCACACATAACGTGTAAAGTTAGTTGTAATTTAGTTTAAAACAGGCTTTTATTTGTTACTAAAAATTATAAATTGTATGCGCCAATTTTATGGTGTCATTTTGAAATTGATTATAAGGAAAAGAGCAGCCAGGGTTTCCATTTTACAGAAATGAGAGCAAGTAAATGATGAAAATTTCATTTTGAACGATTTCTTCAAAAGTACTGTATATTCATCAGCTTTCAGAAAGATTTGGGAAACTCCTAACTTTTAAAATGAGGTGAAAGTGTTTGAGCCCTAAAATGTCCCTTTTGTCCAATGAGGAAATTGTACAGGGTCACTCAGCTGAATTGCACAGATGAATCACATCCTGAAGCCCTCGAGAAAAAGAGGAAGAGGAGAAACAGAGAGAACGCAGACACAAAAGAGGAACGAAAGAGTTGAGATGGATGTGGTCGAGCATCAGCAGGTGAGATGACATTTGCAGAATATCCTTCTGAGTGACATCTCGCCACTGTAAAGCGGGCAATCTGATTGGTCCTCAGAGACAGCACTGACCAATAGGAGAGAACCTGCAGAACATGAACGTGATGAAACAAGTAAAGGACATTGAGTTCTTACCTGTAACATGTTGAGTAAGAGAGAGCGGAACTTGGTGCCTTCCACCATGAACAGAGCCATCTTGTCACAGAGTTTGGCGGCAGTGGCAGCGAAGCTTCGGTCGCTGACGGCCTTGCTGTAAATGGTGAGCACGATCTGGTTCAGCGTCTCCTCCGAGTCGGCTGAGCTCTGCGCCTCCTCCATGAACGAGGTGAGCTGAACCTCCACGCCACTGCTGTTGTTTTTCATGCTGTTTAGAATCTCTAATAATCTGTCCATTCGGTTACGCTGAGGTCCGGCCGTCGCCACGGGAACGTCCTCCTGCCAATCAGAGTGCGGCGAGAATGGTCATGTGACTTGGAACATTGAGGAATGGTGTGGTTCAAAAGTTTGGGGTCACTAATACTTTTATTCACCAAGCTTTCATTAAATAGATCAAAAGTGACAAAGACATTTATAACATTCTGTCTGTCTTCCTTTCTATCTATCTATCTATCTATCTATCTATCTATCTATCTATCTATCTATCTATCTATCTATCTATCCATCTATCTATATATCTATCGTCCATCCATCCTTTTGTCTTTCTATTATTTATCCATCCATCCATCCATCCATCCATCCAGTTACAGTATATAAATACAGTCATATGGATTTCATTTAATTTTACTTCTACTTCCTTGCCCTAAAATTCAAATGTCACTTCTGCATTTAACTATATCAATTCAAATTCAGTTTCAGGAACTAAACTGGGATATAAAAGCACCTTCTCTTTCAATCTCCTCCTCAGTCTCTCTTTCGACGACTGTAGTAAGCAGATCTTCCCACTCTCCGTCTTCTCCTCCTTGTCTTCTTTCTTCCTCTCATCTTTCGCAGGTTCGTCCTTCGCTCCTCTCTCTGTGTGGGGCTCCGGCTCCTCATGTTTTACATTCTCTGTCTCTTTGGTATTGCGTGTGAGGCCCCTGTCGGCCCCCGAGGGCCCTTGACTGAAACTGTTCGTCAGGTGTTTGGGATGCTGATGCCAGCGCCGGTTCTGGCTGTAGCCGTGATGTGGCCCGCCCTGCCGCCCTCCCTGGTTCTGCTGGCCCTGGTAACCCCGCCCTCCGTGCTTCATGCCGGCACCTGATTGGTGCTCAGCGTTGGGCTGTTGCATCTGATTGGGCTGTTGTTGCTGCTGCTGAAGAGGAGGATTCTGGGATTTCCCACCAGGCCCTCCTCCTCCAGGCAGGCGCTGCGGTCTCCTAGAACAACAACAAAAAAAAGCCTGTTATTGACAATGTCACTGAGTGCTTCTTGCCCATGCAAACAGTGTGTCTTGTGTGGATTCCAGGGTGTTGCTAGGCAGTTGCTAAGGTGTTCTGGAGGATTTTTTTGTAGTTTCGAGTGATTTGGGTAGTTGCGAAGGCATTGTTAGGGTTGTTGCCAGTGTGTATTCGCTAAATAACTGGTAAGGTGTTCAAAGCAGTTGTCATACATTGTTATGCAGTTGCTAAGGTGTTCTGGGTAGTTGCCAAGATGTTGCCAAGCAGTAGCTAGGATGCTCTGTGTGGTTTAATAAGTAAATACACATAACAAAGAAATAAATAAATACAGAAAAACAAACAAAAATACAAATAAAACAAACAAAAATACACACACATAAAGACACATTTTGATTTTGTACACATATCACACAAAAAAATACACAACTTCTGTTGGAGAATGCAGGACAACAAACACAGATTTTTAAGAGCATTCTGGGTGTTCAAGTCAAAATAAATAAATAAGCAAAGAAATAAACGCAAAAAATATATATCTATAAGTACACAAATAAATAAATAAGTGTTAAAAATAAGTGTACATTTCTTTTCGATATCCTAATCATTTGTTAACAAACATGTATTCATTACTTCAATGAGCTCATTGTTTCTGCTTTAAATTAATACATTATTTGCTAACTGTGTGACTCGTATATGTACATTTCTGAAATACATTCACTGAACAAAATTATAAACGCAACACTTTGTCTGCTACACGTGGTCTGCGGTTGTGAGGCCGGTTGGATGTACTGCCAAATTCTCTGAAACGCCTTGAGACGGCTCAATTCAATTAATTTCATTCCTGCAGTCAGCATGCCAATTGCACACTCCCTCAAAACTTGCGACATCTGTGGCATTGTGCTGTGTGATAAAACTGCACGTTGTAGAGTAGCCTTTTATTGTGGCTAGCCTAAGGCACACCTGTGCAATAATCATGCTGTCTAATCAGCATCTTGATATGCCACACCTGTGAGGTGGATGAATTATCTCGGCAAAGGAGAAGCGCTCACTAACACAGATTTAGACAGATCTGTGAACAATATTTGAGAGAAATAGGCCTTTTGTGTACATAGAAAAAGTCTTATATCTTTTAGTTCAGCTCATGAAAATGGGGGCGAAAACAAAAGTGTTGCGTTTATAATTTTGTTTAGTGTGACTTGGACACCTCTGATAGCAGATCACTATAAATTGTAATGTAGACGTGCATTTTCTGTAAAGCTGCTTTGAAACAATATGTATTGTGAAAAGAGCTATACAAATAAATGTGAACTGAATTGAAAAATTAAATAAAAACTTTAAGTTTGAATAATTGTTCTACTATTTTGATAATAATATAACAATAACCACAGTAGGCCATGAGACGGGACCCCAAATTTGGGCTACCGGTACCATTTTGAGGGATTAAATTTCTTTTTGATTTTCATGAAGGTACACATCTCTAGTGTTGGAAAATGTGTGATAGCATCCGATCCATGGTAGCTTTCATTAGAAATCAACACTTATATCATCCTACCTCAAGGTAATGTGTTCAGTGACTACAAGAGAGAAAAATTTATCCTTTTATAATTTTAAAAATTTATTTTAAAAAAATATATTTTTTTTATTATAATTTTTTTTTAAAATTTTTTATAAAATTTAAAATTTATTTAAAGATAAATTAATTTATCCTTTCTCTTGACATATGTTTGAAAATCGTCCTCCGTAACCAAAAACTACCTTGAATCTAATGCTATCACACATTTTTCAAATACAGGGTCATATACCTACACAAAAATAATCCCTCAAAATGGTACCAATCAACCCTGTCTCACGGCCTACAGAGAGGAACAATATTTTCAGAACCATTTTCAGCTGATGAACAATAAAAACACTGACAGTCAACAGAATGTCATCATGTGTTGGTGTGAACATCAATAGAGTTTCTTTACAGTTATCGTTCTTGGTGTGAACAGGCCTTAACCCCAAATATGAGCATTAGCAATAGTGATGATTGACTTAAATACCACTACTAATAACTGCAGCCACACAGAGTGTGTTTGTGAATGTGTGTAATGATTTACGGCAGATGTGAGTCAGTATGTAATCACCCAGATGTCCATGTTTGCACCAGTCTGACGGGACGATCTATCTTCACCAGCAGAACTCCAGTCATCCAGACCAACACTGGATTACGGCTTTACATTCACACACGCCTGTGTGTACATACACACATATAGACACGCTGACATGTGCTGTCTGCGTACACATGCATTAGGAGCACTGAATGGGTTACTACACGTTATGTGTGTCATTAATCATTACGTCTGTGTGAACAGATGTTACTGCAATAATCAGACTTTTTAAGAAAAGACAATATTTGGATTCAAGCCATTTAAACAAGTACCAAATTGCACAAACAAAAAGTAATGAGTTAAGTGCAAATTGAGTTTCAATCGCATTTTTCAGGCATCACTGAAAGCAGAAAGCTGCATAAAGCAACAACAACAACAAATCCAAGCCAATCTAAACACATTCAGGATTTCTGGACCAATGAGATTTCACTATGGCTAAACAAAAAACAACTTGTACAGCAACATACGTTAATATAGAATTCAATACATTTATCTAAAGACCTAAATCTAAGATTTTAAAACAGATAGTTCTGGTCCTTGATTCTGATTGGTTGAGCCTGTGACCTCATTACATCAGTATTATTGCACCACTGCATCTAAATACATTTTTTTTTTATGGACTAACCTTTTTATAAAATCAATAAGCCCCGTGAAGCCGTTGTTAGGCAATTTATGCTTTATGTGTTTTAATTGTCTCTTTCGGGCTTGAACAAACCATAACACACACAAATTATGTGTTTTTAAATTGCATAAAATTTCCATACATTTGGATTATACAGTTGTATCTAACAAAACTTAATGTGATGCATATTTTTCATATTTGTATATGCATATAAATAAAATAGGTAAGAAACAGGTAAGATTTCTGCACACACAAAAAAAATCATGGCATAAATTAACTATTTACATAGTATATTTTCAAAATGCAATCATTTATGCTTAGAATCAGCATAAACCTGTTAATTGTGAAACCAATTAAATGTACTCAAATAAAAAGTATGAGCACGGTTAAAATACTGTATCTGTGGAACGAGCGATATTCAATTAGTTAAAAAGTATGAGATCCAAAGAAATTTGATTTAATGATGAAAAAACAAACCTGATAACTGTGCATTTAAAACACATTCAGTTTATTAGGACTATTACAGAAATCTTACCAATGTATCACTGACAAATATGCATCAGATTATGTTTTTTAGTTTATGTTAAAACTGCAATCCAAACGGATGGACATTTCCTATGCAATTTAAATACATAAAGTTAGGCTTAAATGTCTAGATTTATAGCAATAAAGAAATTCGAGGTTTTTGCAGGCTATTTGTACCATTCCAGCACTGTTGTGCACAATCTTCCAGTGAAGGAACAAGGTCATCTTCACTGCTTCTATGAGGAGTAAACAAGCGTACAGAGGCCTGGAGCGAACACACAATGTTCAACAACCATGGACTCTTCAAAGACTAACGTCTTCACTAGTGCCCGTTAACCTACATAACCTCTGCACGCCTGAGAAACACTCACACACACACACACGGGAATCTCCTCGCTGCGAGGACAGGCTTTACGTTTGATTGACAGCTTTAGAGCGAGACGTCCAGGTTAAGGTCATGTTTGACCATGGTGTTTTGCTTTTACGAGGGGTTAATTTTAGGGGAGATGCACACTGAGTGTGTTGAATGACGGGTTGAGAATAAGACGTGGAGGTGCTGACCGTGACATTCTTCAGGCTTTCCGTGGGTTAACCCTTGATGTCGCTCCACGGGAACATCATTTTGTAATGATGATTTTGAAAGAAGTCTCTTCTGCTCACCAAGACTGCATTTATTTGAGAAAAAATACAGTAAAACAGTAATATTGTGAAATATTATTAAAATTTTAATATTAGTTGTTAACCTAATAAACCCAACAGAACATCCTAACCAGGCATGACACGAAAAAATAGCACATCATTTCTTCTATACTATTGTTTTGTTTTAACCTGCATTGACAATTACAAGCACAGCATGATAATGCAGGGTAGCTCCGCCCACACTGAAATCTCATTGGTCCAAAACCTTGCTCTATTTAGCTGTATATATGAAATATTGACATTCATCATGACAAGTTAGTGTTGAAACTCATGTTATGGTAAGGGGCGGGACATTCCCCAAACACACTCTAGCGCTTGACCAATCACAACACACTGCTCCAGCCGACCAATCAGAGCACAGTGTGCTTTTCAGAAGGAGGGGCTTCATAGAGACAGGAACTAAACCGAGCGTTACAGACAGACTGGGGAGAGACGAGCTGCAATAGTGACAAATATGAGAAAAATAATGAACATTCAAGCATGAAAACCTGTTCTAGTAGAGCGCAAAAACAAAATCAATACTTTGTGAAGGACATAATAGGTCTCCTCTATAATGGTGATTCTGATCATTTAAAAACATTTTTTTAACCAAGACAGATTTCCATTTTGTGTGAGTGAGTGAGTGAGTGAGTGAGTGAGTGAGTGAGTGAGTGAGTGAGTGAGTGAGTGAGTGAGTGAGTGAGTGTGTGTGAGAGAGAGAGAGAGAGAGAGAGAGAGAGAGAGAGAGAGAGAGAGAGAGAGAGAGAGAGAGAGAGAGAGAGAGAGAGAGAGAGAGAGAGAGAGAGAGAGAGAGAGAGAGAGAGAGAGAGAGAGAGAGACAGAAAGACACTTAAGTTTTTTAAGCAGAGCAAGAGCCAGATTCAATGGTGTCCACACCCAACCCTTCCCTACCCTCATTCTCACAGACACACACACACACGCGCAACAATACAACAAAAAGTTATGTGAAAAGCTCTTACATAACTGAAGCATAATGTGTCTGCTTTGCACAAGATAAACCCTGACTGACAGGTCTGTCACTGATGGGAATCTCCACACTTCACACCAGTTTCTCTTTTTCAAGTTAAAGAATTCACTCACAGCAGAAACCATTTTTAATCTGATACAAACGAAAATAAGACTGAGGAAGAGAAGCCTAAAGCTGCTGATCAAAAATCGCAAAAACAAATCCTTCCAAAATGTTCAAGGGGACTAATAACAAATAAAAAAGAGGCTGTGATAATTAAAGTTTCTCTGCATTTTGTCAAATGAAACATGCGGTTTACTCTGATTAAGTCTATAGTAACCCAAACTGTTACTTCACAGAATACACACTAGTAGATCTCCACCATGTAAAACAGATCATCTCTAGAAGATTCTAGAAGCATCAGCCTCCATTTCTGTGTTTTCAGGTAATGTCTAGCAGCGGTTGGCCGATGTATCGGCCAGTATTTGTTTTTTTTTAATTATTGCCATTTGACGATACATTTTTAGTTTTTGCAGGAAGCAGGACTTTTATTTTGACAGCGCTACGATTCAGATTATTTTATTTCATGCCATGTCAGCATTCAAAGCTATTTTCATGGCAAAAATTCACATACAAAAATACAAATATCATATAAATACAATAAAAACAAAACAAATATAAACAACAAGTCATATTATACGATATATTTTTTTAAATTAACATATGATAAAAAAAATCCAAAACCTTTTCAGGCCTAATTTCATTAAATATGTCCTTCAATGAAGTAACTTCATAAAAGAGCATTCTGCTTGCATTAAGTCCAGGACAATCTAATAAAATATGTTTGACAGATAAAGGAATTTTACAAAACATTCATAAAGTTGGGTCTTCACCTTTAAAGGGGTCATTTAATGGTACATGCACTTTTACAAGTTGATTGTACTGAAATGTGTGTTGGCAGTGCCTGTACACAACCATCATATAATGATAAAAATCCATCCAGTGTTTTTGTTTTAATCTCCTTATATGTTTTTCCCTGCCTCAAATTGAGCCGTTCGTTTTTGTGACGTCAATAAAACGGACGCCCCTCCCACGATTGTTGATTGACAGCAGTGATTCAACACAGACCCGCCCTCGCTCGTCCTGTCAATCATAGTCTGCGCGGATCGGCGCGGTCATTGTTGATATGCTGGAGCACTGTCTATGAGCAGAATGGCGTCTAAGCGATTGTGGTGTTCTGTTCTTGGGTGTAATAACACAGCAGTCATTTTAATGTTCCTAAATCCGAACCGCTGAAGACGCAGTGGCTGAGTTTGTTTTCGAAGGGAATATTCCCCACGAGCAACGTCAATGCTTTCATGTTTGCGCGAATCATTTCTCACCAGACTGCTTTATAAACGAGGATCAGTGTAAAGCTGGTTTTGCTGAGAAGCTGCACCTGAATAAAGGATCGGAACCTATTCGTGTTCCTGCTGAACCTTCAGAAGAACTAAAGTGAGTGTAACGTTTTATTAATCTTTATATTAATATTTATATTAATCTTTGCAAATCGCCAGCTGCACGCTTCACGATGAATGCGTCGGTTTACACTCAGTCAGGGTACATTACAGCATGTTTTCTATGTACAACGTTCTCAATATAATTCATAATCCCACGTTTATAATGAACAACGCATTTGGTTATTGTGTTATTGTGTTACAAACGGTGTACGCACAGAACAGAGAGGCGGAGTCAGCAAAGCTCATGATCATTTAAAGTCATATGCACTGAAACGGCGTGCTGAAAACAGAGCTGTTTTTGACCAGGTAAAATAACTGTTTTCTTACAATACTAATGAGAATTTGTAATTAAAGTATATTACAAACTTTTAATTTAGACCCTAAAGAATCATATTAGCTTGTACAAAAATGGCATTATATGACCCCTTTAAGCAAAAAAGCATGGGTCAAACTTGTGTGACCCATACGGCGACAGCGCTAAGAACTGTCAAAATAAAGAAACTATTATAATATGACTTTATAATAAAATTAAATATTATTAATAGAAAGGCAAACACTATACTTTCTCATGTTTATTTTGTTATCAGGATTTTTCACGATTAGTTTATTTTAGTAAACATCAAGTCAAATTAATATAAATGTGTGTGTGTGTGTGTGTGTGTATATATATACACTCACCGGCCACTTTATTAGGTACACCTGTCCAACTGCTCGTTAACACTTAATTTCTAAGCAGCCAATCACATGGCGGCAACTCAGTGCATTTAGGCATGTAGACATGGTCAAGACAATCTCCTGCAGTTCAAACCGAGCATCAGTATGGGGAAGAAAGGTGATTTGAGTGACTTTGAACGTGGCATGATTGTTGGTGCCAGAAGGGCTGGTCTGAGTATTTCAGAAACTGCTAATCTACTGGGATTTTCACGCACAACCATCTCTAGGGTTTACAGAGAATGGTCCGAAAAAGAAAAAACATCCAGTGAGCGGCAGTTCTGTGGGCGGAAATGCCTTGTTGATGCCAGAGGTCAGAGGAGAATGGCCAGACTGGTTCGAGCTGATAGAAGGGCAACAGTGACTGAAATAACCACTCGTTACAACCGAGGTATGCAGCAAAGCATTTGTGAAGCCACAACACGCACAACCTTGAGGCGGATGGGCTACAACAGCAGAAGACTCCACCGGGTACCACTCATCTCCACTACAAATAGGAAAAAGAGGCTACAATTTGCAAGAGCTCACCAAAATTGAACAGTTGAAGACTGGAAAAATGTTGCCTGGTCTGATGAGTCTCGATTTCTGTTGAGACATTCAGATGTTAGAGTCAGAATTTGGCGTAAACAGAATGAGAACATGGAACCATCATGCCTTGTTACCACTGTGCAGGCTGGTGGTGGTGGTGTAATGGTGTGGGGGATGTTTTCCTGGCACACTTTAGGCCCCTTAGTGCCAATTGGGCATCGTTTAAATGCCACGGCCTACCTGAGCATTGTTTCTGACCATGTCCATCCCTTTATGGCCACCATGTACCCATCCTCTGATGGCTACTTCCACCATGTCACAAAGCTCTAATCATTTCAAATTGGTTTCTTGAACATGACAATGAGTTCACTGTACTAAAATGGCCTCCACAGTCACCAGATCTCAACCCAATAGAGCATCTTTGGGATGTGGTGGAACGGGAGATTCGCATCATGGATGTGCAGCCGACAAATCTGCGGCAACTGTGTGATGCCATCATGTCAATATGGACCAAACTCCCTGAGGAATGCTTCCAGCACCTTGTTGAATCTATGCCACGAAGAATTGAGGCAGTTCTGAAGGCAAAAGGGGGTTCAACCAGTTACTAGCATGGGGTACCTAATAAAGTGGCCGGTTAGTGTATATATATATATATATATTATTTGTATATATATATAAATAAATGTATGTATGTATGTGTGTGTATATATATATATATAATTTTATTTTTTTTGACAGGGACAATGCACATTAGTCAACACCGTAGTAAAACTTCAATGTAAATGTGCCAGAGTTAGCTAAATAGCTAATTTTAATCCGTAGTCCCTGAGCAGGTGATACTAACTAATGCCCAACATTAATCAATGAATATAAATATCAAAATATGCTTTATATCAGCATTGGCCATCAAATAACAAGTTAATAATCAGTCGACCATTAATGTCAAGCACTCCTTTCACTCCACTAGATCGTCTCAAACCATTCCCATAATGATCTTCATTAACATTCCCTCATACACGCCACCTTAATGATGCCACCCTGCCTGTGATTAGGATTTCTGTTCCGTACTACGGAGATACTTTGTAGATTAATGATGACTCAACCGAAGTGAGAGGAAGAGAACTGTACAGTGATCAGGATTTGTTGTGCAAGCAGAATAAAAGCAAACAGGTTCACAGGGACACAATTCCAGGCCAGAAGAAGATGGTTAGTTTGAATCCCATGAGTGGGTTGATCCCACAAGCAGTTCAGAAGTCCGGTTTGTAAGTGGAAGGACAAGAGTGAGCGGACAGGATTCAGAAGAGCTGCTCGGAGCTGGACCCGTTTGAGACACTGACCTGGACACTTGCCGTTTCCCCTCGGCTGGCAGCAGCACCGTCAGATCATCCTGGGGCGGATTGCATCGGCTACGACAGGGAGATGATACGTGAACAAGTGGATGAGAAGGTAGAAACAAGGTGGAAAGGAACACAAGAAGACACGAGAGAACTAAAAGAAACAGGAGGAGCAAACGGAAAAGGAGGAGATGGAACAGTAAAATCTCAGACAAAAAAGCGAGAATAAATGATTGGGACAGTTATGAAATCTACATTAAAATACTAAAATAAAATGAAATATAAAAAAATACAATAAAATATGAAATCTACTTGGGTTAAGTAAAATAAAAAAATGGTAAAATAATTAAAATACAAAAAATAACTAAATAAATAAAATGACTATAAAGTGTTATGAGAGCTACAGGGTTTAAGGGAAGCAACTGAATGACACGGCATGCTACAAAAGCCAAAGAAATGTTGCAGTGAATATGAAAAGACAGGACGGTTTCCACAATGGAAGTTTCTTTAAAATAGATGCAACGGAGCACTTTGACTGCGAGTAGCGTGTGCAATTCCTAAGACAGGGATCCTCAAAGAACCCCCCCCCCCATTTGTTTTGATGGGTTTTGTGACCCTGTGGTGCCTGTCTTTTCCAGTGTGAAGGTCCAGCATCACTCCAGAGGGTGAACAGGCTCAGAGTTTACTCCAGTCCATCAGGTGCTGTAGATTATCCTGCTGCTGAGCCTCTTTATAAGCTCTAAACTACTGAAACACACAACATAACCCAAACTGACCTGAAAAAAGGCCCAGTTTGACCTGCCTCAAACTATATTAAAACATTTTATGTATATATAATAAAGAAATTAGATGTATAGCTCACCAAGGCTGCATTTATTTGAGGAAAAATACAGTAAAAACTGTAAAATTGTGAAATATTATTACAATTTAAAATAGCTGTTTTTTATTTAAATGCAAGTTAAAATGTAATTTATTCCTGTGATCAAAGCTGTATTTTCAGCATCATTACTCCAGTCTTCAGTGTCACATGATCCTTCAGAAATCACTCTAATGTGATGATTTTCAGCTCAATAAACATTTATTATTATTTTTATGCTTCAGATTTTTGTGGAAACCGTTATACTCGTTTTTTTCTGGATCCTTTGATGAAATTTAAAAGAGCAGAATTTATTTCAAACAGAATCTTTACTGTCACTTTTGATCATATAATGCAAATGAATTATTCAAATAATGCTGAATAAAAGTATTAATTTCTTTCACAAAAAAAATTAAACTGGTACATGCATACATTCATAAATGACACAAGGCTGTATATTTTGGAACCAACACCAGATGAATCTGCCGATCTCAAACTCAAACTGTCCTTTATACTAAAAGACCCGAGTCCTTTGAGCATGCAAACACACACACACAGACTCTGATGAACCTTTCATTAGTTGACTGGCTCTTCATAAATCTAAACTGCTTTCCTGCGAGATTCTGTCAACAAAATATGCTGCATTTCATAAATGCGACTGCAAAGATGTTGAGATTCAGCAAACTAATCTCGAGAGCGAGAGAGAAAGAAAAGGCAAGAACTGATGCCAACAAACAACATGACCGCAGGGTCCTCTCTGGCAGAAGCAAAGCATTGTGGGTGGCCAACACCAGGAATAACAGGCTGAAAAGCCTTCTGTTAGAGGAGAGAGAGAGAGATGTGGGAAGAGAATCGTCTTGTGTAGTGAGGTGAACAGTGACTCGCACACACTCTCTAAATTTGAACCCAGAAAAGATTTATTCTCTAGATTGTCTTTACTCCTACTTCTAACTTTTGTAGTCAAAGTCCAAGTAAAAATGCATAAAATTTGCCTGCGCAAAACTTGCAAACACAATGCAAAGGTGCTGTGGGTGGTGAGAGCTGCAGGGATGAGGCTTTCATGTAGCCTCTTTTTTAGCACTTCCGGCTCCATCGCCCCGAAGTTAATGGGTTTTTGGTTAAATGTCTAAAACAAGGTTCGTGGTGGATGGGGAATAGGGATGCACCATATATCAGCCACCATATCGGTATCGGCCCGATGATCAAATTTGGCCGATATATCAAAGCTGATAAATAATGGATTGTTTCCTTCAGCTGAGACACTTCAGATGCACTGTTCGCCATGATGGTTTTGAATTGCTTGAAATATGACTGGACAATGGCGCAAAGGACAAGACTATTCAGAGCTGGACAAAAATCGCGGATAATTTGTTAGATAAGCTCAGATTTTGACATACTACATTTCCCTCTCTCCCCTCCGTATTCTACACATCCTTTTTTATGTTTTGGTGGTTTTATATGTGGACAGTTTTCATGGCATCTGTCTGTATATAGTTCATGTGAACTCAGATATGTTCCTGGTATGGTAATTAATATAAAAATTTTGATCACAAAAAAAAAAAGAAATATGATTGGAATCACTTTGAAGAGGAAGATACAGCGCATGTCTGTCATACTCATATAGGAGACATAATTATAATGAGAACATTATAATTGTGTGCTTGGGACATGGCTTTTAATAGTGAGACTTTTGTTTTTGGTAATCAGGCTCTGAAAAATTCAATATAAATTTGGATTTAGATTTATCGGCCAATATATCGGTTATCAGCTTTCAAATATAAAGAATTATCGGTTATCGGCCAAAAATGTCATATCGATGCATCCCTAGTGGTGGACACAAGCTCAAAATATTGTCACGTTATATTCTCAAACATAAAATACATCAGTAATACCCCCTTGTTTTTAGTTTTTGATTTTACTTGCTAACAAGTGTCTAAATAGGACTACAGAGGTTGTCGGTTCATTAAACATCCGTACACAGAACAGGTAAACTCATCTACTCACTAGTAGGATTGAGTATCGTTTAAAACGTAATGATTTCGATTCTGCTCATCGATTCAGATTCTTATCGATTCCTAATTTCAATTCCAATCAGGCAAAAAAAAAAAAACATTTTTTTAGGTATTCAGGTACAGAAACTGAAATCAAACGTAAAACAACACTGCACTTTATAAAAAAAATATACATTACAAATATAGTTACAAAATTTAAGATCAGCGAGTTAATTTTCTCTTTGCATTTTGTTGTCTGATTATGTTATTATAGAGACGTAGAGCTGTTACACGTGCGTTTACTTTGTGTTTACGTTCACTTAAAACATAACCCACTGTGTTTACGAGGATATTTTGACATTTTGTGTGTGTATTTGTGTGTTCAAGTGCAAAAAGACGTGGAAGAGAACTTCAATATCAGGCACTATTCAGTATGAGAGTACGTCGTTTTGATGCGTGTGAGCACAGAAAAGGTCTTCTCGCGCTTGAATGGTTTAAAATGACATTAAAATCACTTTATCTTAGTTTAGTTTCTTTATTTTTAGGCATGGTTTGTAGGGAATTACAAACCTGCGCACATTTATTCAAACGCACATAATATAGACTCAATTCTTAATGCGCATGTGAACGCCATCAGCGTTTATCACAGGTTCAGTTTTAAGTCTGTTTAGAGAGAACGGTGTCGTCTTAGCAGCCCCTAATTTAATAACAAATGATCATTTCGACGGAAGTGAATCAATCAAAACTAACTTTAGCTGGAAAATAACATTATTCAAGAACCGCTATAAAACCAAACCAATCTCTGTTACCTTAAATTATATTAAGTTTATCTCTGTAAAGCTGCTGTGAAACAATCTCCACTGTTAAAAGCGCTATATAAAGGAGGATGACTTGACTTTTTCAGTGCGCGTGCTTTGGATGTGTGTGCAGGACAGAAAACGGCGTGCAGGTAAAGTCATATTAAAATGCACACAAATGAAATTTTTATTTTATAACATGCATCCAATTCCAGAATTGGAATCCATTTTTGATTCCCAACCCTACTCACTAGTCCACCTTTACAGCCTTGCTGTGTCTATAATCGCGCTCTTGCAAACTATTCTAACTCAAACCTTCAGGGAAAATGTTTTTTAATTATAAACTGAAAGAGCTGTCACATGAATCCGGAAGTCAAGTAGTTCGTTTATAGCCTACGCTTAGCTTTATACTTCTGCCGATCGTATTTAGGCTTCAAAACCTCCAGTAAAGGAAACAGTGCATTCTGGGCCGCAGGGAATCTGGGAGCCTTTGTTCACAAATAAACCATCTATTCTGTTCCACACGCCCTGTCACAGCAAAAACCTCAGTACTGTATAAACGTCCTTGAGTGCGGCGGCACCACAAAGCACACACGAGAAACGTCCACTGCAGAAATCCAGTCGGACTGGGTTCCACACACAAGGACATCAGACCGATGACAACGAGAGCTTTTCTTTGCATTAACAAAGCCATGAATAATAGAAGGGTTTTGCTTGCTTTCACCCTCTGCTTTCTCCTTTTCTTTCGCACAAGTTTAGACCAAAATATTTTCTTTTTTTGCAGTTTCTTAGCAACTGCAAATTACAACAGAGAACTGTTCCGATGAGGTCAAAGTCAAAACGTAAAAGCAGAAAGGTGGAAGTGGTTTTGTGGATTAACAGTGAATATTTTGAGTAAAGAACATGCAGAGCATCGCGTTTTACTCCAAACACAACACCAACACAGCGGTTGACGCTCTCATTACATTCGACTCTTGACACGTGTGGAAAGTGTGAGCTGGTGTGTTTTCTGCTTTACAAGTCTAACGTCAGCGCTCAACGTTTTCGCTAAACAACTGGAAGAGAGTCGGACGGTAACGTAAGAAGTTCATGTCGTGTTTTGAGACTGAGTGACTCACCGGCGGTCATTTCTGCGGCGGCGAAACAGTTTTTTAGTGTGTGCGATCTCAGCTTCATTAGGCAGAGGAGGAAAAACCTGCAGACAGAGAGAAAACAAACCAGAACAGACATGAGAAATGCAACAACAAAATACATCTTTACAGTTTATATATGTGAGTGAATCACACAAAAAATAAATGAATTAAAAAGTGAGATTTTATTTTGCATAAAGTTTTTATTTGTTGAAATAATTCATATTTTTATAATTGCAAAATTATTTTCATGATAATTATGCAAATTTTCACACACTCAGACATTTAATTAAACTTTTTTTTTGTGTGTGTACAAGAAATACAGCCAGGATGGAATATTTTTCGTATTTCTTAATATTTTTATTTAAATAATATTTATGTGTGCGCATTTATATGTGCATATATACATTTATATACACATTTAAATTTATATATAGAATATCAGGATAGATGGAACCAGGATATACGAATGTATGTGTATATGTATGTTTATCGTACACATGTACAGTATATGAACATATATATAAAATGATTGCATATGTGTGTGTGTATATATATATATATATATATATATATATATATATATATATATATACACGCAATAATTTTATACATATATATGTTCATATACTGTACATGTGTACGATGAACATAAATATGTATAAAATTATTGCGTGTGTGTGTGTATATACACACACATACGCAATAATTGTATACATATATATGTTCATATACTGTACATGTGTACGATATACATATACACATGCATACATTCGTATATCCTGGTTATATTTGTACAAAATAGCTTATAATATTAAAGTAATGACATGAAATTGTCAAATATGACCCATTACTTGACATCTGCTCAATTCAATTCCATCAAATACAGATGTTTAGAATCAAGTCCCACCCTTCATTATTCATAATATTGTTTCACACGAAAATACGATCATTTTGTGCATGTGACTTCAGAGGTCAGTCTGTTCTGCTGTAGGAACATTATCTGCAAACACAAGAGAACCACAACATCTACAGTACCATAAACTGAAGATAAGATAAAGTTTGAAAAAGATTTCTCTTGGGGACTGCAGGAGGTTAAAACGCCAAAGTTTATCGGCCAGATCTGGGAAACGAGTACTGGTGCATGATGGGAAATAAAACCCTAAACTCTGACAACCTTCCATTTCACAGCAAAATGGAACATTCTTGAGCTCTGAGCTGCAGTAGTAGCAGCACACACACACACACACACACACACGGTCCTCTGGGTTTCTGTTTCTAACCCTTCTAAGTCTCTGAAGCCAAAACCACTGTATGCTGATTGGCTGCCTCTGATTGGACACAGATGTGGCAGGAGATTAGTGTAATTGGCTGCTTTTCCTTGTCGGCTCAGTAATAAGGGCTTCTAACGCTTAACCCCGCCTCCACACAGAAACACAGCCAAAGTCGGACACAGAGAGTCGCCAGCCATCACGTTTATTACAAAAAACAACTGAAACTTAAGAAAATAAACCTCCGGATGCATTCATAATGATAAATATACTGCGTCAAAGACCTGGCTGGACCTTCACCGACCCGTACTGAAGTAAAAACTTCTTAAAACTCATTCAGAAATGAAAACTGTCATCATTGACTCACTCTCATGTGGTTTTAAACCTGTATTACTTTCGAATGTTTGAAGAATATTCCGCCTCTCTTTTACATATAAAACCCAGCAAGACTATAAGAAGGGTTATTGTATAATAAACAGCTTGAAATGCAAATGAACAATTATAAATTCCAAAGCACTCAAAAACTTTTTTTTTATCAAAAACCTATTTCATCATGATAGTTATGCACATTTTGCCTGAAACTTTCTTCACTGTAATGCATCTGGACAATTACATTTTTTATATTATTTTCAACATGATTTTCAAAACGGTAACATAATAATATTTTGTAATTGTAAAAAATGAAGTTAATTTTTGTACAGCAAATACAAATATAATGCATTTAAAAAAAATAATACTACCGGTTAAAAGTATGGAATCATTAAGACTTTTTATAACTCTTCTGTTTATTTGATCAGTAAAAACAGTAATATTGTGAAATAATATTACAAATTAAAATAACTATGTGAATATATGTTCAAATGTAATTTATTCCTGTGATCAAAGCTGAATTGTCAGCATCATTACTCCAGTCTTCAGCGTCACAATGATTTTGAAAACATACTTTTTTTTGATCGGCAGTGTATATATTTTGTCTCATATTTTATATTTGCTTGACAATAATGAGACATAACTTGACAGTCGAGCAATGATTACAATCCAATCGAATACACATGGCTAAAAACAAGACCCACCTTACATGATTTTTCATAACATTTGTTTCACATGCCGAAACTCCTGAATTCAGAGGAGAATTGTATATGATGTTCAGATGTGGCTCAGATGTCCATATTTAAAAGTGGCCAATATCAGATACCAAAAAGTCTCATCTAATAAGCGTTTTGCTGTTTACATGCAAGCAACAAGATCTGATCTGTGCCAGATGTCTGTGGAAAACAACAGAACGCAGACGTAGAGACAACGGAAAGACTTGTGAGGTTATGACTGTCATTTTGGGTTTCGCCCCATCAGAATCCATCAAGTCTGAGTCTCTAAAATCACGAGGAACTTCCTCCGTGGCTGAGAGAGAGGCGTCTCCGCAAACCTCCATTCATCTTCAGTGTGTGTGTGTGTGTGTGTGTGTGGAGCTACTGTTGCAGTCCTGCAGGATGTCACAAGTTGGACGTCTCCGCTGTAATGTTCTCCAGATGATAATCGCAACCACACGAAACACATCCAGACTTCAAAGCGCCTAAATATGTCAATATTTACACAAGCGTGAAACGAAGGAAAGCGAGGCACGAGTTTTCGTTTGACATGATTAAAGTCCTCAATTATTATTCTTGTGCGCAAAAAAAACTTGTTATAATTCTTTAAAGGAAGCGCAAAGAAATCAGGTTTTGTTTGAACATAACATACACGGAGACGTATTTTGAAATACATACAGACAGAAATGTAAGCGTCTGAACAGGTACGTGATGAATAATTATTGCAGAATAAAGGACAGCAGGGAGGAGACCTTTGGTTTATTTTAAATAAGGGTTCGTTGTTTTTTTTAAATGCGAAACAATACGAATGTCCTGTGTGCGGCGGCTGACAGATCAAAGCCAGTGACACACACACACGCGGTTGGGCAGGTCCCCGCTGAGTGTGACCTTTGACCCCCGGGCTGCAGCACTGTTGGTCAGTGCAGATGTGACTAGAGAGGGCGGGAAGGGAAACGTATGCATACCGCCACATTCCAGAGGTCAGAGGTCACAACGGAATCCATGTTCACAGAGAGGCTTACAAGGACTCCTCCCACTCTGACCTGATTGGTCGCAATGATGATGTAACCGTGAGAACTCTGTCAATCAAATGTCTACTCCTCCCATACCATGTATATACCAGGATATTACATTACATTAAAATAGTAATAAACAGTATAATAATAAAAAATAATTAGAAATACAGTATTGTTTGAATAATAAAATGAATAAAATAAGATATAAATAAAATGGTGTATTACAGTATTTATGGTTAAATAACGTGACATTTAATTTTACGATATTATTTTTGACCATAATATATGAAACATACTTAATAAAAATAGTTAATAAAAATGTGGGATACATAATGAGTATATAGTATATCCAGTATATACATAAAAATATATATATTTGGATTAAAACTATACACATACATATACATATATGTACACACACACAATTAATAAAAAAATATATATTATATAATAATATTTAAATGATTTAATTCAAATTAAGACAGTTGTATTTATATGATACATAATTTATATAATATATATATACTCATTGTCATGTTCAAGAAACCAATTTGAAATGATTCGAGCTTTGTGACATGGTGCATTATCCTGCTGGAAGTAGCCATCAGAGGATGGGTACATGGTGGCCATAAAGGGATGGACATGGTCAGAAACAATGCTCAGGTAGGCCATGGCATTTAAACGATGCCCAATTGGCACTAAGGGGCCTAAAGTGTGCCAAGAAAACATCCCCCACACCATTACACCACCACCACCAGCCTGCACAGTGGTTACAAGGCATGATGGATCCATGTTCTCATTCTGTTTACGCCAAATTCTGACTCTACCGTCTGAATGTCTCAACAGAAATCGAGACTCATCAGACCAGGCAACATTTTTCCAGTCTTCAACTGTCCAATTTTGGTGAGGTCTTGCTAATTGTAGCCTCTTTTTCCTATTTGTAGTGGAGATGAGTGGTACCCGGTGGGGTCTTCTGCTGTTGTAGCCCATCCGCCTCAAGGTTGTGCGTGTTGTGGCTTCACAAATGCTTTGCTGCATACCTCGGTTGTAACGAGTGTTTATTTCAGTCAAAGTTGCTCTTGTATCAACTTGAATCAGTCGGCCCATTCTCCTCTGACCTCTAGCATCAACAAGGCATTTTCGCCCATAGGACTGCCGCTCACTGGATGTTTTTTCTTTTTCGGACCATTCTCTGTAAACCCTAGAGATGGTTGTGCGTGAAAATCCCAGTAACTGAGCAGATTGTGAAATACTCAGACCGGCCCGTCTGGCACCAACAACCATGCCACGCTCAAAATGGCTCAAATCACCTTTCTTTCCCATTCTGACATTCAGTTTGGAGTTCAGGAGATTGTCTTGACCAGGACCACCCCCCTAAATGCATTGAAGCAACTGCCATGTGATTGGTTGATTAGATAATTGCATTAATGAGAAATTGAACAGGTGTTCCTAATAATCCTTTAGGTGAGTGTATATATATATGTATATATATATAGACACACACACACACACACACACACACACACACACACACACACACACACACACACACAATGACATATGATTGGAAAATTATTATAAAAAAGAAAACAATATCTTTAACGTATAACAATATCTAACACTAACCACAAAATTCTACAAAGCTATAAACTATAACTTGGCGAATTGGCTAACTAACAAACTGAAAATAAAT